ACCTAATCTTGGCTGCTCTTCTCTGTTGGTGCTCTTTCTGTTGCTTGGCTTGACTACGGTGTGAACTTAGAGTGTTGTTGCTCTTTCTGTTGCTTGGCTTCACTACGGTGTGAATTTAGATCGTTGGTGTTCCTTCTGTTGCTTGGCTTCATTACGGTGTAAACTTAGATTGTTGGTGTTCGTTCCTTAGCTTGGTTGCCTCTAGTTTGTAACACACCTGATAGTTCCTTGCTAAGTTCTTCTCCTTTGGTATCTATACTGGGCTTGTCCGTAGCAGGCAACGGAACGGCTGGAGGTAGTGGGAGACCTACTAGTGGTTGTGGGGCTAGTGGTTGTGGCAGCGTTGCTGAGCTACTTAGGGCACGGACGATTAGCATTTAGCTGATAATAAAAGAGAAAATATGGGTTGTACCCATTGAGATCTAGAGTACCTGGAATACGGTACTCCCTACAGAGTCTCAAGGGTACAAGGTGGGAAACCTCGTCATGACAACCCCGGCTCCACACGGCTATTAGCTGGTCCGTCGGGCCTCTCTTTTGGTTTTGATGGATCTTCCTTCGGATTTCTGCAAATCACCTGCTCCAGATAGAACTCTGTAGTTTGCTTTAGATCATTGGGTATTTGTCGTTTCTTGGCTAGTCACATTAGGCTATGGTCTCCTGTCAATGTAAGCAAGGTCTCTTCATTGGAGGTAGTCCGAGAACTGTCCTCTTTTCTGTAATATCTTTAAGCGAAGCTGGGTAAGGCTCCCAGTCAGAATAGCAGAATAACTCGTTAATTTGCTTAGTGTTTGCCTCTCTTATTTCTGGTTTTGGAATCTATTAGTCCAGCTGCGATTTTCTTTTTAGGTTGAAGTTGCCGTACATGGGACACTGACCCGGTTTCCAGTTAAGCCTCAACTGGGTATTGACCCCAGGAATTCCGGGTTGAGATGTTGAGGGATTCCCCGGCCTCAGTTCTCCAATTTTCTATAATACAAACTGCAACTTCTTAAAAAAAAAATAAAAAATCAAAAAGTGAAAATTTAAAAATGTGAATGCGAAATACTCAAGGTGTTGCACAAGTTACACGCATTCACATTTTTGAATTTTCACTTTGAATTTTGACATTTTTTTTGTTTTGGACAATAGTGAAACGAGGCCACTATCCAAAAACGAAACAAAAAATTACGCAAAATCTTTCGTCATCAGATGCTTCTGTCGCTCCTGACTTCAGAAGACTGACGTCACAGAAGCAAATTCTCTACAATTCTCAGCTTCTCATTAATTTCTCAAGCTCGAAACAATCGTTTTGCCACTGTCATCCGCATATAAATATAAATAATTTAATAAACGATAATACATTTGATGGCACTCATGGGACGAAGATACAACATCATTTGATGGGAGACCACAACTCCGTTACCTCTCAGTTACCTCTCAGTTACCTCTCAGTTACCTCTTCTCAGTTACCTCTTCTCAGTTACCTCTCAGTTACCTCTCAGTTACCTCTCAGTTACCTCTCAGTTACCTCTTCTCAGTTACCTCTTCTCAGTTACCTCTTCTCAGTTACCTCTCCGTTACCTCTTCTCNCCTCTCAGTTACCTCTCAGTTACCTCTCAGTTACCTCTTCTCAGTTACCTCTTCTCAGTTACCTCTTCTCAGTTACCTCTCCGTTACCTCTTCTCAGTTACCTCTCCGTTACCTCTCAGTTACCCTCTCAGTTACCTCTCAGTTACCTCTCGGTTACCTCTCAGTTACCTCTCAGTTACCTCTCAGTTACCTCTCAGTTACCACAAAAAAATTACTCCGATAATATTCCAATAGGTAACGTTGTTTTAACTTTTAACTTTTAACATTCTCATGATTACTCAAAGTTACCACAAAAAAATTACTCCGATAATAATCCAATATGGAATTGTTACCTCTCAGTTACCACAAAAAAATTACTGCGATAATATTCCAATATGTAACGTTTTTTTAACTTTTAACATTCTCATGATTACTGATTTTACACGTCACAAGACTCAAGACTCGATACCAATCCGTAGGTCACCAAAATCACATATAGACGAATAGATTGGCATCCTTCTGTCTCCAGGACCTCCTCTCTCTCTCTCTCTCTCTCTCTCTCTCTCTCTCTCTCTCTCTCTCTCTCTCTCTCTCTCTCTCTCTCTCTCTCTCTCTCTCTCCCCTGGGCGTGCACATGCATGCGGGAGACGGGAGATGCATTCCCGCAAAGAGTAGTGCTAAATTGCGAAAAAAAATAGTGGGAAAAGGAAAAACGCCAGAAAAAGAGGAGCCCAGTTCAGCCCAGTTCACTACTGATGTCACACTCACTTCGGGACGATGCCTCCTGGGAATGGAACTGCCGGAGGGAGCTGACGATACCAAATGGAGTAAGTATTTTGCGCCTCAGAACACTTATGTGTGGATACTGTATGCGTGTCCATGTAGATGTCATTGAAAGGTCTGCATGACCTCTCTGTATGCGTACAATATAGTCCTCTGTCTACGTTTTCTTCTTCACATGTCGTGCCTCCAGTAGCCATGCATGGATGTCATTTTCTCTACCTATGGCTTCCTTCCTCTTCTTCTTCTTCTCTCTGAGACTCTCTCTCTCTCTCTCTCT